ACACACACACACACACACACACACACACACACACACACACACACACACACACACTTGAAGACAGTGGTAAGATATCAAGGCAGTGAGAATTAGTAGGACCAAATTTGGAAGAAGAAAGAAGAGAGGCAGACCAGACATCTGGCATAGCTCTGTCCTCAAGACAATTCTCAGAGAGAAAACAGAGCTGAAGGGCAATGAAGCTAAGCAAAAATTAATGTCCAAAGTCGCTTAGGAGAAGAGGTCCTGGTAAACACCTAGGCTCTTATAGAGGACTCTGAAAGGCTACAATCTGAAAATAAGAACAGAACAAAAATAGACCAATCTTTACAAGGGCTGAAGTCTATGTTGGAATCATCTCAGCCTCTGACTGGATGATCTGCCCTACCTAGCCTGATTGCAAAAATATTTTCCTGGAGAAATATAAAATCATAAAGAACCTCAAATTATCATTACTTTTTTTTTTGGTATACGGACATGGACAAAATTTTGGCACACAATGTCCAAAATAATAACCAAATATCAAGATGAAAATTGTGATTAAACACAAAAAAGTAGACAATAGAAACAGAATCAAAAGACTCAAGATTTTCATGTCATTAACTCTGAAATAACTGCTCTTAATAAAGTCAAAAATTCAATGGCAAGATTAAGAAATTAGGCATAGAATAGGCACAGCTGAAGAAAAAAAATTAATAAACTAAAAAGGCCAGAAGAAAATATGCAGAATAAAGTGTGGAAAAACAAAAGGAGAAAAAGAATTGAGCAAAAACATAAGAATAAAATGAAAGGGTCTAATGTAAGTGTTAACTGGGACCTTTGAAGGAAGAGACATGTAACTCAGGAGAAGTGGTATTTAAAGAAATAATGACTGAATATTTTCCAAAACTGACAGAGTACCAACCCTCATATTGAAAAAATCTACAAATCCCAATGAAGATTTAAAAGAAAAAGAAAACATTACCTAAGTATATCAAACTACTGAAAACCAAGGACAGAGAAAGAAAGCTTAAAAGGAGTAGTAAGATTGACAGCTGACTTTTTAGCAGCAACAACAGAATCAAGACTGCAGTGGACGATTTTTAAAGGGCTAAAAGAACAGAACTACCAACCTAGCATTCTATACCCAGCAAAAATGTCCTTCAAAAATGAACCTTATAAAGATGTTCAGAAAGACAAAATGTAAGTGAATTTATCACTAACAAGTCTATTCTAAGAGAAATTCTTCAGGCAGAAGGAAAAAAATTTCAAATACAAATTCAGAGATGTAGGAAGGAAGAGAGAGTAATAAAAAGGGTATGCATTAATGATGTAAATAAGTCCAAATAAATATTGGCTATATAAAACATTTTTTGAAAGTCTCACAAGATAACAGTATTATTACCATTAAAACAAATTATAAAACTGGCATCAAAAAGTGTAAGGCGAATCCATAGAGCTTAAGTGTTCTAAAGTCATTTCACTGTCTAGGAGTTGTTAAAAAAAAAAAAAAAGCTAATTAACAATAAACTTAAAAAGACCAAGGATGCATAATGTAATCTCTAATTGTTAAAAAAAAAAAAAAAGTAAAAGAATGTAATTAAATTCAAATGGAAAAAATACCCCAAATCAAGGCATGTTAAAAAAAAATGGCGGAATATGGATTAGATGGGACAAATAGAAAATAAATAGTAAGGTGGCTGATTTAAGCCCAAACATACGAATGATTATATTAAAAGCAAATAGCCTAAAAACTCCAATTAAAAGATGAAGATTGCTAGCCTGACTCGAGAGAAATTTCAGCTTACAAGAGACACACATCAGATATATTCATAAACTTGAAAGCAAAAGAATTGTTGAAAACAAAAGATATACCATACAAACAGTAATAAAAGGAAAGCTATTATGTTGATATCACAAAAAACAAACTTGTAGTTACATGGCCTATTCTCTGTGATATTTATTAGGCTCTACCTTTATGATTTTATATACTTTTCTGTATTAACATTTATTTCAGTAAAAAGTGTATACATAAATCCCTTCATGTGTCCTCTTTATCCCATTAAGCACATACTTAATACATTCATATTTGATATAAAAATATATATCTCAAAATCTACAAGTAAAATTGACCTGCCATGAAAACACACCATGTTTATGCTGTATTACGTCAGGCTCTCTCCTGTATTGTAATTCCAGTTCAGGAAAAACAACCCTAAGAGAGGAGAGGAGAAGTAGAGGAACAGCACAGTGTAAGAAAAGTTGCTCAATATCTTGAGATGTAAATTACCCACCTGAAATTATCATATACTTGTTTACACCTTTTGCTCTATCTTAACTGTACCATCAAGTTCAGAAAGGTAAGCCTTCTTGGATGATGAGTATATAGGCCCCACTCGACAATCTCTCTTAGAGAGATTGTTGTTATACTCACTATAAACCTTCAATCAAATTTCCCACAGGAAAAGCAAAAACAAGTTTACCATGTCTTTCTGCTGTTTTCCCTGATGAGGGGGTCTCAAATTCTCCTGCACTATTGCCCCCTTTCCCTCATTCTGATTAGCTTTTAGTGAAATCTTTATATCCAAAAGACAGAATCAAAAATATCATATCCCTCCTGTCTTAAGTGATTGTTTTGAAATTCTAAATATCTCCATTGTCTGAGGCCCAGTTCATTAAACTTTGCTGTAACCAGAAATCTTGGTTTGGAATTTCATTCAAACAGCCAAAGAGAACTGACAAGTCCTTCCTTTAACAGTATATGTGATTAAAACAATCTACAATAGAGGTATGTAATGTGAAAGTACCATGAATCAAAAACATGAATCTAAGAGAAGTAAATGAAAGGTGTTACAACTCTTAATTTCTTGTGGAGAAAGACTAGCAGAATACGATTGAAGCAGTGAACCTGCAGGAAGACTTTTAAGGTAACATTAGCAGAAATTTAATAAACTGAGGTGTCATCTAGGAGCCATACTGTAAGCAACTCTCTACATTCTCTGATTCACTGACAATTTGCCTTACAGCATGCTGATCTTGATTTTCCATTGCTTTTTGTCCTAGCTATGATTTTGCTTTAATACCATATATAGCAACTTCACCATCTCAGAAAGGGACAAAGACAAATGATAACTTCAGTGCTGCAGAGTCTACCTCTCCTGGCATTGGAGAAGAAAGCAGTAGTCACAATGCCATTCAGTACCACTCAGGCAGAAAGCACCGTGATTGAGAAGAGGAAGGACTGCAGGACCAGAGAAAATTCCTTTTTCTATCACCACAGTGGACATCTGAAGTTAAAGAAGTACTAACCCAGCTCCAGCAACTATGAATACTAACATGCAACTCAATCATTTTCCAAGGAGATGTTGAGCTTCAGAACTAACCTACTCCTACAGCACAAAAAAAGAGACTGTTTGTGGAAAGCTATTGAAGTACTTATGGACAGAGTTTTC